GCCTTTTAAATTATCTACCAGCTCCACAGATTTTGAGCTCACAAATGCTGTAAGTCTATCAAATGTCCAAGAAGATGACTGCTTTAGCTGTGAAGACGAAATGTGTTTCTATTTGTGTACACAGACGAAGTATTCAAAAGAAAGTGTAGGGCACATATTCATTATATTCTTTGCCTGTTGGTTGTCTGCAAATGGTTTGGTTCAGTCTGTTCACTGATCAGACACGATTTGTGAAATAAACGTATCGTTCATTCTCAGCCTGGTATTTGTTCTCTGTCAATTCATTGTGAAGATGATGGTCAAATGTTCAAGCTGCATAGTGTATTTTCATCAGATGAAGATTTTTTGACAGAACAATCGTTCTCCAAAATGAGATTTCAGTAACCACATGAAAAGCTACGTTGCGGCTAAAGTAGGAAATTAGGTATATACAGCAAAATCACTCTCCAGTGTTTGGATAAGAGTCACAAATATACTGAGCGGTACTTGTGGCAGGAGGTAATCAGCATAGACTCTGCATTTCAGAGAGAAAAAGGTAATAAAAAATACAGAATTGTACACTTGAATTTGTCATACTCAGATGAATTGCTTGGAAAAAAAAAAAAAAAAAAAAGAAGAAGAAGTTTTGTCCCAGTACTTTTCATACTAGTGTCATGAGAAATTTTAGGGACTGGAAACCTATTGCAACCATATTATGTCTCAAAATTGCAAGATTCATCTTGAGTAGACATGTATAAGTACCAAAAAAATCAGTAAGGAAAAAAATAAGTAAGGCCTCACTTCATGAGCTCACTTAAATACGTTAATTCATTAGAAGCAGTAATTCAAAGATCCTGAACAGATTGAGAGACCGTGTTTCAATAAACGGTTCCTTCACCCAAAAAGACTGGAAGGGATTTAAGTCAATACAAAACCATGATCTTTTTCCAACAGAAGAAGGCCAGATGCAAATCCAGGCCAGAATTTTTGCTCAGGAGCCCTGGTATGCAATTTAAAATTGGAGGTGTCACAAAAGGAGGCTGTTGGAAGAGTTGAAGCTTGAGTATCAAAAGTCGGTAGCACTTCCATTGCAGGAGAGAACAGCTGTGCTACCAGCAAGATTAGGAGTAAGAGATCAACTTGATCAGACCACATATGATCTCTGAAAAATGAAATACTTCAAAATTATACCTAAGAGTATTGAAACTGCTGCCTGATTAGAGTTGACATTTTAAAGCTACTACTGTTACAGCCAATTACAGGTTAACCTCATTCACTTTCCTAATGTGTGTAGGCCCATCTAAACATTCAAATTAATTTACAGTTTATTCACATCCCTTCTTTGTATCATTTCAAGAAAACTAACCACTACTTCTTCCAAAGAAAATACGTCACTGATTGAATCAGATACAAAGAGCAATTGGCTTATGAAGTTCAGGCAATAACAGGATTCATCAATGAAAATTAATTCCATTCATTTCAGATTTTGGAATAGCTTCTCATCATGTCAGCTTACCATGTCAGGCTGCTGCTATATCCACCTGCATTAACTGAAAAGGCCACATCTGTGTTCTTTAAGCAAACTTAATACAAAACTTCAAGGGAAGCAGACAATTTTTAGAAGTTAAAAACCTTTTTCTTATTTCAGATTATATATCCCCCCCTAAAGTAAAAATAGACATACTTGAATTCCTAATTCTCTTTTCCTCTATACTAAAGCGTGTCTGGGGAAATATCCTGCCGTTAGTAATCAGATTCCACCGCAAGGATTTATGTTCCTTGTCAAAGTTACCAGGATCTCCATCTAAGGGCAGATAACCAGCTATCTTATTGATTAGAAATATATATTTAACAGAAATTTCAATTAAAATACTGTTAATATTACCCTACAACACTGCTTAATAAAATATTTCTATCCTGAGAGCTTCCTTTGCCTGAAAAACAAAAACAAAACAAAACAAAACAAACAAACAAAAAAAACTGTATTGCACAATTGTGATGGATATGCAATAACTATGGGAAAACAACTGTTGTGATCAATAAGTGGAATCCACCCCTGACCCAGAGGAATCAGAGATTTCTTTCCATACTTACAAGCAGGTTTGTATCAACATCCCTCTATGTAAGCTACAATTCTCCAATAACCGTTCACTTTCTCAAACTTGCCTGTTGTTTGAACTAATGAGCACAGGAACACACTGAAGAATTCACTATCATCTCACACCTCACAAAGACCAAATTGCTCATAGGTGTAAACCAACACAAGACTACAGGGTACAGCCTTGCTCCTGTTGTACACCCACAGCAAAATGGATCAGGTTAATGATTCAGATTAGAATGAACTATTTTTTGCAAGATTTATTCTATCTCAAACACTTTGCAGCACATACAAGCAGTTGTGCCAGGAAGAGACCAAGGACAGCTCTTGGCAGCAGTATAAGGCTAAAATCTGAAACTATTCCAGTGGTACAGCCTGCAATTTTTATTATTATTTTTAATCTGTATTATGCTCACAGGCACCGTACAGTTAGGGAGGATTCTTCTACTTTAGGAAGCATCATCCTAGCATAGAGCAAGAGCACTGTAGAGGAAAGCACTGCAAAAGTCATAAGAGAGGGCCCATTTCATCCAGCTGCTTTAAATAAATGCGAAGACAATCCATACTTGGTGGAACTTAACAGCTGAACTCAAGATAGGAGGAGAGGGACATTCTTACAATACCTCTTCATAAATTCTAACAGCACGTGTGCTGGAAGAAAGCAACAGAAAACTGGCCCTTAACAATTTGATCATCTTCAAATTTGTTTCACCTTCAGAATTACCAAGTGTTTTAATGGCTGAGTGTACTGAACATTGCAATATGCTTTCTGTGAAGGTGACAATTTCTGAGAAGAACACAATATATGAACACAGAAGACACCCACAACCTATTACTAATGCAAGAATTCTTCCACTCCAGACTTGCCCAGTCTGTGATCACAAAACACTCCCACATAGTGGAACTGCAGGCCAAGGGCAGGCTTGCACAGCTCTGTTGGTTTCAGCGGCCATGCAAAGAACATAGAAAAAACTTCTAACAGTTCAAAAAGAAGTCATTGAAAGTATATTAATATAGAAGTACTTAAGAAAAAAAAAAAAAAAAAAAAAAAGAGGGGTAAAAAAAACACACAGCTATTTCAATATTACTGTAAGGCATTTGTAACAAGTCACATTTTCCTGTTACTGGGCTTCAGTAATTTTGTGCAGACTAAGGCAGTCTAATCCAGTAACAGATTTGGTTCTATGAGTAACTTTATGAATGGATGTATGTTTACTAATATCAATCTAAAGGAAGAACCTGTATTATTTAAAGTACGACATTTGTAGAAGCATTGCTAAGGGGCTTCTTGTTAAAGTTTGACTGTATCTTATTTCTCCTGCTTGTCTCTTCTGGGCTTCATTTTAACCATTTTAATTTTACTTTCTCGTAACTAGGTGCAGTGACTTTAGGTTTGGTTTCAGGTGGGTTGATGGGAAGGAAGAAAGTTTTGCATCTATTTTTTCCTGTTGCTTGTCCATCCATACTATTTTCTATCACAGTATGGTCCTTGACTAAGCAGTTTCATCCAGCTGAGAAGTAATGCAATTGTTCCCTAAAATAGTATAGTTCATATCCAGAACGGATTTAACTGTGCTACAGGAGAAGTTTGCTAGTTCTACAAATTGAGTGGCTTTTACTGACATGGATCGTTACTTTTCAATATCCAGTCAAAAGCTTTTTTGTACTGCACTAAGTTCTACCTCACTAAGTCTGGATAGAGCAAATTATTTGGACAGAGAGAATTATTTTTTAATTTGAATGAAGGCAGGAATATAGGCAGGAAGATAAGAGAGTCACTGCATGTGTTACCTTTTGCATTTTTTGTTACTTCAAATATTCTTTCACAAACAGGAACTTTTCTTTAAGGTAGGCTTCTGCTTCGTTTCTTACAAATTATCTTACATCTCAGGATAACTTAGAGGTTTCAAAGGAACCATAACAGCATTAATCTACAGCTTTAAACTTGATTTGTCACATTCTGTTTTAACAACCACAGGATAAAACATTTGATGACGTAGCTTGTGTTTTGTGTTTTTTTGTTGTTTTTTAAATTCAAATCAGATTGAAATTCTTCCCAAAGCAGTACTAATATACTTACAGAATAAACTATAGGCAGAGTGGCTCTAGACTCAGTCCACCAAATTGTAGTGCATACCTGACTGACTGAAAACACTGGATAACTTGATATATAAGTGTCTGGTAAGTGTCTGAGCAGTCTCATCTGTACCTCAAACTGAGTGGTTTCGACCAATATTCAAATATCCTGGAGTTACCAGTTCATTGATCTAGAAGGATAAAAATATATACTGCTGTTAAGGAAAATACAAAAGCAGCAAATACTCTTAACTTCAGTTACCCTTATACAACAGCTTTCACCATGATTTTTTCAGTAGTCTGGAATCAATGATAAATCTTTAGCTATCATGCAACATCAAGAACTACTAGTAGTTCTAGGTTCTACCTACGTAGAACCAACTAGGCTGCAATAACAGCATAAAAGTATTTTAAAAACACTGCAAAGCCACATTAAACAGGTAGGTCATTACTACAAACATCTGCTTCTTCTGAAGCCCTGGACCATGGCATTTTTCTTCATGCAGTGTTTCATGGGACATGCTGCAGAAAACTGATCAGCTGGAACACATGTATTCCCTGAAGTTCACCTGCAACAAGCATTTCATCATCCAACTAAAATGCTCACGTATATTTGGATGCCTATTATCCCATCTTAATTAGGCAGTTTCACAGAGCCAAACAAGTATGCTAACCATACTGAATTTCAGTATTATGTATCAAAAAAGCACCCCAAATTAACAAGGCTTCAGTTGTCTTCCCTGAAAAACACTAAAAAGTTTTAACTCAAGCTCAGCAAAGTTGTAAACACGCTGAGGGCAAGATTTTCCAACACAGCCTTTAGAAATCAGAGACACGGTTACAAGCATTTCCCACAGTATAGTACAAGTTTAATTGTGCAAAAATACAGTCATTAAGATTTCAGCTTTGTTGTTAACTGACCACAGTTACAGTGATGTACATGTACTGAAACTGGTACTGTAATTGGAGCAAATACACCATAATTGGTGCTGAGACATGAGCAGATGTTCAGTACATTTAGATACTGTTCTGAAATTATTTAGATAACCAGTATTTAACTACCGTACATAAAGACAATCAAAGAAAAGACATCTAAAGTGAAAGCTAGTAGCAGATTAATGAAATTTAAGGTTACACTAACTGTAAAGGACACATAATATGGCTTAGAGAGATTTCCCCAGTGATGGCCAAGAATCAGCCTGCAATACGGAAGGTATAGCTCCTCTTCATTCCAGTATATGTTGTGTTTCAGCAAAACTAAAGACTTCCTACTGTCACTATTAGTTTCAAACACAGGAAGACAAAGCATTACAAAGCTTTAAAATTGTGTTTCAAACTGACAGTCTAATGGTGTTGGAAAAGAAATAACTAAGAAATTTCTATTTTTTAATAAGTCCTACTGCAGCTGACACACAATATAATCCCAGAGCTCAATCATTTGGCTCCACCACTTCATAAAACAAAAATCTCAAAATACACCCAAAAGGAATGGTATTGCTGAATCCCCTCAGCCCTGTTAAAATCTTCCTATAGCGTCTACATCACTGAGAAAAAAGTCATTTTCAAAGCAATTCCTCTCCTTGTACATTTGAATTTTAACTTAACTGGATCAGACACTTAATTTTATTCAGTGCAGCTACTTTTTGGTCTTAACAAATCTATTTGCTTCTTTCACAAGTGTTTCGACATCTTCATTATCCTTGTCTTCTGAACTTGGTTCCCAATCAGAATCTTCATCAGTAGGTTCACACTCCTCTTCCTCATCATCTATGAAGCTGTCATTAAGATCATATTCATTTGGTTCGCCATCATTGTCACTGTCTTTCTCCAAAGCCCTTTTTCCTGTAGGGACAGAAAAGTAGTGATATATTCATGAATTACAAATGTAGAAATAAAAAGACCATCCAGAGACCATCTAGTTAACCTATCTCTAACAGGGAAAGAATCAACTAAAGCACCTATTCTGACAATTTTTGGTTAGATTTTCAAAACTCTCATGAAACATTTTACCACCTCTGACACCTACTGCAGTGCTTATCTACCTAGAAAGCTTTCCCTAGTGGTTTAAATCCACGCTTCTATTCACAGTGAAGCCAGAAGTTTATTACTTGTCTCTTTGCAGTAAGCTCTATTTCACGTTTCTCTCCTTTCCCCCCACTTTTTTTTTTTTTTTTTTTATAATCTAGGCTATGCTACCTTTGATTTTCCCCTTATCTGTCATGCTTCCTGTACATCTGATCTTTGGTGCTCTTTTCTGGAATTCAAGTGCTTTTCACAATGTTACAGCCCAAACAGAGCTCCAGGTAAGGCACTGACCATTCTGGGCAGACATAAGGTACTATGTGCTTAACCTACAATCATCTGGTTAATAAAAAAAATAAAAATAAAATCAATGCTATGAACACTTCTCATAGCTACGTTTCACAAAATATTGAAAAAGAATATTAAGATATCGTGTATTACAGCCCATGGCCTGTTTCTGCAGAACAACTACCTAAAAGCTAAGAAATGATGTAGCTGATTACCCTTTATTGCACAGAATACAGTATGTTACAAATTATATTTAAATTCTCTCTCCAATTTACAGTGATTCAACATCCCTACTCTGTCCCCTCCAGTACACAGACTGCAAGTCCTCCCATCCTCATACTGTGTCCAAGTCTAATGTCCATCCTCTGCTCCCTGTGCCACATTATCAGACACAATACTCACCTGTTGTCTCTAACCGTAATTCTTTGAGAGCTGTCACAGAACCAGGCTGGTTTCATACAACTGTAAGCAGAGGCCACGTTTTATACTACCACTTTGAAACCAGTATCAGGCCTAACTCCCAAACCGGAGTTTAAGTTGATGAGCACAGAGCTTCCTGGCTTCTCTCTCTAGTCTCTATGGATCACACCCATTATTCATGATTTTCAAGAGCCACATATACCCTGAGATTGGATCCCAGGGTGTGCAACTTTCTAAGTACTATTGAACTTCTGTTTATCTTGAAATAAAAACACCCTTTGTCACTGGTATTAACAGTATCAGATTTACCTTCTAAGCAAAAGACAACAAAAAAAGAATACACATTGCAGACTACTTCTATATACAACCGATACATCTTTCTTGACTGTGTCTGACTATTGCTAGATGGCTATTTTGCCCCTACATTTTGGCTTCATTCATAAACAGAGAAGCTGTTTTATATTCTAATTCTCTAAGAATCTTACATGGCTTTGATTTCCTGTTGTTTCCTGAGGCTCTTTTGACAGAAAACCTGCTAGACCACTCACCTCTTAAATTCTCAGCTTGGATCTACACTGGATAGTTTGTGCTTCCTTACTGAACAAGGGTTAAGGAAATGCCAAACACTGAACAGTTCTTTTCCAAGCTGAATGCAGCCTGCCTGTTTCCCAGTTCACTTAGCATGTTTTCTTATACAGTCTTTTTACCTTCTATCTATCTTCAAAAGTTACCATTTTGTAGTGCAGTTGCCTTCAGCATTCATACTATTTCACAATACTCTGTATTGGCAGGAATCTAAGACTAATAAACCTCTCTTTACAAGGAATGGATGCTGCTCATGTCACATTCCCAAGCTTTTTTTGGGCAGCTTGCCTTGCAGTATTTCTTTAATTATTCAAATATGTTGGCAAATTCACCCATTTAAACCAATTCTGCTATTTGGAGCACTGATTTGGCAGCAGCTTTGTACGGACACCACCATGGCAGTAGTGCATTCTCCTTTTATTTATCCACAGCTGTGAACTTTCAACAAATTTATTCCCGCTGCCTCCTGATTTTGATAGACATGCTTATTAACATGTTCTACAACCTTACACTATCTCCTTTTTCTTATGTGTGCACAATTTCTCATTAACCACACTGCAGTAATATGCCAATCATGTTATTCTGCCCTTAAGTCATATCCCTGAGTAAAACCATATTCATTCTTCCTCTCAGCCTCTGTATGTTTTCCTTTATCTTGTGTAGAGATGACCTGTCAACAATCTCATGAAGATAATTTGTCTGTTGTCATTCTGTCAGTTTTTGTCATTATCTGTCATATGAAATTATAGATACATATTTTTCCTCAGCCGTAGACCCCAGTCCAGATCAATTTTTATATCAGCCGTAAGTATTTCTTAGCAATCTGAGGTCAAAGCCTCAGGTCCTCAAGCTGTGTGCATGTGGTAATCAAAAGAGAACACCAGTATCTCGCGTAGTCAGATCCTATCCTCTCTCAGTTGCATTTTTCACTAGTGGGAACATTAGTATTCCAGAATTACGTTATCGTCTGATTAACATTTTACAATCTCCAGCAATTCTCATCCAAGGATTCCTAAAGCATTTACAGCATTAGCCAAGTCTCTCAAAGATGCACTATTTTATGGGTAAATTGTGTTACAGAGACACTAAATGACCTCCTAGAATAACATAAGGTCCAGGTGTGACAGCCACAGACGGAAGTCCAGAAAAAAACCATGGCTAAAATTTACATTCTTGAATGATTGACTGTGCATAACCTAGCAGAAAATCCTGAAAATGCCAACTGGCAATGTGAGCTGCAATCCACTATAATGCTTGCTGGTTTATTGTCTGTCGGTCTTCAGATGAAATTAATCACTTCCATGTTCACCCATACCAGCAGATTTTCTTATAGGAATCCCAGCCCATGGTCTTACAGAATGAATCGTCTAAGAAGTGGGAAAAGATCATAACAAAGACACTAAATGTGGCAAGAACAAAATCCCTCTTTTCAGACTACACTTACAAAAATAAGCCCAAGACCTACTTAGCAAAGAAAAGCCATTCTTCATTTTCACAGCGCCGCGGGTGGTATTTTACAATGGATTTGGAAATAATGAATATTTTGCCACAATTCCTATCAAAATATGCTCCTACGTTTTTAGGAAAACAGCAAAATACATACCGTATTTTTCCTCCCTGTATGTCATTGCTTTTAGATTTTTGCAGTGAATAATGCATTTCTTTCCACATCTTCGCACTCCACCTCTTTCTGTTACAGTTTAATTCAGCCCTATAGCCCCCAAAGCAACTCATGAAACACAATCCTGCCTTTTCTCCGATACCACATTTATAAAGATGACCTTAATGCTTTCTCTTAAAGGTTGTCTCCATAGGAGACAAGCTTACTGATCACCCCTTTTTAAAAAAAAAAAAAAAAAAAAAAAAGCTATAACTGGAAGTTACCTGCTTAGCTTGCTGGAAAAACTAGGAAAGAGTACAGGAGAATTCTGCATGATCCACAGCAATATCATGTCATTCCTCTAGGTACTGTCAATTTAGTAGTAACAACTTAGTGACAGCACCAACTTTTTTTTTAGTATCTTCTCCCTTACAACCCTTCCGTAGACTTGGATTATATCTCACAGCATAGATCTCATTCCCTACAAGCAATTTGCAATCCCTTTGGTAGCAATTAGCCTAAAGACATTAAAAACTAAACATGTCAAATGTCATACAGTCAGTATCCTTTCTTCATGTCTGCTGGAATTTAAACATATTTGCATGGAAATTAATTCTGCTGTGCTCAACAGTGCAGTAGTGCCACACAGCATGAAATAAAGGTTAATGGAGCCCTGTCTGTCTGTGTGACCTTGCATGGCTTAATGTAGCTGCATCAGATAAGAGCTTACTGAGCCTAACCTTTTAAAAGCTTTGCCCTAAAGAGAACTAAGCAAGCCAGTCATAAGACTTTGGGGAAAAAAAGTCAGCATTAAGAACGATATTTTAATTAGTAAATTCCCTTTTGCTCCCTGTGCAGAGAATATGATTTTTTCCTGGTTCTTATTTATTACCAAGAGTTGATTTTCACTTCCATGTTCAAGTTTCATGAGTTTATAAGATAACTCTTCTCTATATATAGCCATTCTTGACTGGCCACCTGCTGGGAGACGTGCACACGGTATCTACCATTCACGTAAAGAAAGTGAAGAGTGAATATCATTAGACTTTCAGACTGCTCTTTAAAGCTCACTTTTAAATTATTTTAGAAAGCTTCACACATGGAAGCTGAGACAACAGAAGTCTGGAAACAGACCTGAAGGATTTAAAAACCTGGAGTGTGTACATATGCAACACATGAATTACCATTGTTGACAGCAACAAAGCAAGCTAGGCGCACTGCTGGCAAACAGAAGGTATGTTTGGATAGAGTATTATAGTTTACATTATAAAGAGAGCCTGTGCTACTACATAATCCCCACTGAAGACTTGAAACTGAAGAAAGAAGGATACGTATGTAGTCTACAGCAAAAGCGGCCCCCAACCCAAAGGCACTAACCTTCTTCTACACTTCAGCCCTAACAAGACAATATCTCACTTGAAACAGATACCACAGAGTACATGCAAGAAAAGCTCATTAGTACATGCACAGATATTATGTGGTAGTTAAAGGCCAGTGCAACAGAAGGAATATATAAAGGTTTGAAAAGCAATTGCTCTTTACAGAATCTTATCTAACTGTATATGAAGTATCAGGTCCTTTTATCCTATTACAATCCTTATATGTACGGAAAGAGCATACAGTTTAGCCATGTCTTTTTCAAAGGTGAAACATCATTTTGATTTCCTGTCTGCTTCCAGGGAAGTACAGGTATGCTCATCGAGGTAGCTTAGCACAAACTGAATTTCAGCACTACCATTTATAAAAAAGCAAGCAGGGTTTTATTAAAGTGAAATAATAGTTTTTTCCTCAGGTAAGTATTACCATCTGCAGGACTTCTAAATGCCCCAAAAAACAAAGTATGGTAGACATGGATGCACCCATTTGCACAATTAGAACATACTAACCATTCTTTGAAGTTCGCTGTCGGGTTCGTCTTCCAGTTCCTAAAGAAATGAAAGTTACTAGTGAGGACAGAGTACAATCTAGTAGCAGTGGCATTCACACAGACTGTTAACAATAAGCAACTAATCTATTAAAACAAACACTGCAATGAATATGCAGTGTTCACAAGAGCCCCCCCCCCCAAAAAAAAAAAACACAACTATTCTGTATTGAATGATTACTGATTCACCAAATTTACTTTTTCTTGCAATTATAAACCATTCCCTACCCAGAACAATCTCATTAAGACTTGTATTATTAAACAAAAAATTCAAGTGCTTCAAAGTATTTAAGCATTTTACACCATTGCTTCAATAAATGTAATTTCTCCTTACTAATGTCATAATTCCAATTGTTTAAGTAAACTATATTATCATGTCTGTAACTGTTCTGCCATGAATTCTTCTTTATTGCATTGGGATTTCACATGGAAAAAACCTCCAAGTGCAGTATTTAAAAAAAAAAAGTAAAAAACTTCAAATTTCGATTTGAGTTCTTTAAGAACACTCAAAATATAAACAGAATATATTTTTCAACAAGTATAATTACTGAAATAGGGAAGACTAGTACAGTTCAGAATAAGGAATCAAATGCAGTTTTAATTATATTAAAGGAAGGATGCATTCTTGCTATTTTTACTTTAGTAAAAATTTTTAGAAATTGTGTTACCCCAGAAGTTCCTATCAAAATAAAAATACAAAGCAAGAATGAAATCTCAAGATATAACACACTCTGCAGCTGAAGTATTTCCATGTACATATTTTGCAACTGGGACAGGAGAAAACAGGAGAAAAGCTGTGGAAATAGTTTATTGCACTATCCATTATAAATGTTGAATGTTTCAATAGTACCTATGTGTATTTTCAGTTTTCATTCTCATACTACAGATCTGAACAGAGGGGAGAGATCTGGTAATATCACAGTATACCATGTTTCATTTCCATTAAAACCCATTACATTTGTGAAAATATCCAGATGCCACATGGTGTTGGTTTTTCCTCCAATATTTAAGACACAAGACCATACAAACCATGTCAATTCTGACCTATCTTGTCTCATTTCAGTCAATAAACACTTGAAAAAGTGAGCACAGGGCTGAAGTGGCCAAGCAACCTTCCTTATCACAGACAATGACAAGACCTCAAGCTTACGAACAGCAAGAGTGCAATGTAACGTAGGGTAAGTTGCAAATGGTATTTCTCATTTACAGTATCTTGCAGTATTGTAATCCAAAATTTTTGTATCCATTCCTGGTTTGTTCCCCCACATACATGCACTTTGAATTCTATTGAACAAGGAGTGATATTACCTGGAGGTGCAGTGTGCTTGTATTCCAGCTTATGCTGTGGATTCTTCCTGCAAATAAAACAGCAAAAGCATGATATGTCACTGGAGGCCCAGAGCTCCTTGGTATTTTATGCATACAGTCATAGATCAGAAAGCAATGAACATTGTGAAATGAGAAATTAACTCATCGGCAAATTAAACAGTTTGGGAAAATTGCAGCATTTGGAAAGAACTGATTGTCTTGAAGGACCACATGGAAGGCCACAGGAAGAATTTATCCTTTCTACAGTACGCTGCTGCAATCCAGTAAGTTCCATTGCAACTTTGCATTGTCTTCTATAGAAACAATACCATCAGAGCAATGAAAGAAAATCCAAAGCCAACATGCTCTTGGACCTCCAAAACATGCTCCCCTCATTCAAACTGTGACTAACACAGGTAATCAACATGCACCAATTTAATTTGTCCCTCCCATACCTCTCACAAAACATTTATCCAATGTTGGATAAAATAAATTAACTTAGTTTAACTTGCATTGTGCTTACCTTGTTAGCATACTACAGGACTTTCTCAGGACTGCATACTAAAATAGTTTCAACTATTGCTCCGAAAATTTAGACATTTCTAACTTTTTAAGAAAACCAGTTCAGTTATGTTATTTTCTGCTTGTGAAAATAAATGGCAATTAAAGATCACTGTTCTAAAATGACATTCCCTTTGGCACTCCCTGACACTTAAAATGAATTTATACAACTGCAGCGTGCATGTATTTTACAAAATACGTTTGCCACAAAGACTGCCTTGTAAAACCATTTGCTTGTGTTTTACTCTTTAGAAGAACAGAATAAAGTTACTCTTCAGTTTAAAAGAAAAGAAAAAAATCTTGGTTTTGTCACTGCTTGTGACAAATTCAGAAACTTCAACCAGATTTATAATTCTAGACGTACTGCCAACCTGAAGTGTATTATGTACGCATTGATATTTATCTGAAAAATGGAAATATTGCTTCCTACAAAATAAATGGTGCAGAAAAAAATGCCTATTTCTATGTTTTATTACTATCATCAGTATCAGACCATTCAATCCTAAATCAAGACATCATGTTTAGATCATTCATATATGAAAACTCTTCAAACTTCATCTGTTGGTAAGTTTAAAGAATCAGTACTGTTTCATGGATACCTCATATTCTCTACCCCAAAAGAATTAAATACAGATCAAGAAGTCATGAAGTTACTTAGAGCACAGAGGTTGCCTGTTCTGTGTTTTGTTTTTGGCTAAGTAACCACCGCACTGTTGAAAAGCACATTGGTAATTTCATTACTGGCATAAACTCAGATTTCTTATCCTACGATAAGAAAGAGAAACTTTTTTTCCTGCATTAGCTAAATATACTATTGCTTTTAAAAAAACTACCCTCCTTCTGTTACTTTTCATAAAGGCACTCTCTAGTATTATCATGATCACGCTTTCTGGAAGAGATAGTAGAAAATGTTCAGACATGATCTCTACTAAGAGCAGCTGTAAATTTCAGTATGCTCTCCTAAACGTGCTATTTCCTCGGAATATAGGCTTTTTTCCCTTGTGACAACTACACAGTATCCAGTAAGATTCAGACTGAATATTAAGAACAATTTCTTCACAATGAGGGTGGTCGAACAGTGAATCAGGCTTCCTAGAGGGGTGGTTGGTGCCCCGAGCCTGTCAGTGTTCAAGAGACATTTGGATAACGCCCTGAATAACACACTTTAACTTTTAGCTAGCCCTGAAGGGGTCAGGTAGTTGGACTCAATGATCCTTGCAGATCCATTCCAACCTAATTGCTCTAAGATCTACTAAATAAAGGTGTAAAATGTAGACAGTAAAGAAAAAAAATATAGTAAAGCTATATTTTTCAGAAAATCAACAGTGCTTAGAAGAAAGTGCAACACAGCAACTGGATTTTATTGCTGCTACCTGAATTATGCCTTCTATCAAACACTTATTAAAATAAAATAGAGCTTTTGTATAGTCTCAACATGCTTTATCGAAATGTAAACTAAAAATTACAGATCATGAAAAGAACGTAGGAATAAATTGTTTTTGTAAAAGAATGGTTAGCTATACAATGAGAAGTGAAAAGAGTCAATTTCTATGCTACTGAATGCTTTACAGAAGTCAACAATTCCTGTTTGCTAGGTTGAAATCACTACCAGATATTTTGGAAATATTTTGCTGTTTTGAAAGTAGCAGTCTATCCACAGTAAACTTTGGAAAGCAGCAAGAATTTAAGAAGAGCCCTAATAATATACTATACTCCAGAGTTAACATCAAGAATTACTCGTTACTCTAGCATCACTAACTCCAGGGGAGAACAGTCTTACTCTATAAAGTAAGGAAAACCATTTACTTACTGCTTCTTACCTATAACAAGCAGTTCCATACGGACATTCAGGACGGTTATCATCATTACCTTCAGTTAAAGTATCTGTTTCATGATAATCATCATCGTTAGGGTGACTGAATTGCTGAAAGTGAATAGGATTCTTCCTGCAAAAGATGAATATGTTTATTGAGAACTGCCTGTTCTGCTTAAACATGACAAGTGGAAATAAGAATGGCATTATTGAATAAGTGGCAACTCGTTTTTCTATCATTACATAAATAGGAACTTTTTATGTTAATAAGAACTGTTTAACTGTATGCAGACCCACTTTCAGGATAACAGAAGTTAATTTTTGTCTCAGCACACGCTCCACAAGAAGTTAAAATGGAAATTTTCCTATTTGCCTTCAGTTTTTAAATTTCAGAACTCCAACACACGCACAATCTACTGAAGTAATCACGCAGCATGAATCTTGCTCAGTGGCTGACTTGCAAAGTCATGACTCCCTCGGGAGCTACAGAAGCTTTATAAAAAACACTACTGAAGCATCAACTTGAATCAGAAGGGCCAATGTATGGCAACTGCAGAAATGAAGAAACTGCACACTTGGGAGATTGTGTATAGCTTCAGTCAATCTGTCTCAACCACTACTTCTGTTGCATATGCAAGTTATTACTCACTTGAACACCACCACGCTACTCACGTCCACTGGACAGTACATTGACCATGTTGTCAAGACTGCCTTGGCTACGATGACTTTTTTTCGAGGTATCCAATTATAATCTGAGCAATAAGGACAGGAACTTGTATGGTTCAGACCTAAGGGCTCTGCATATAAGCTGAGTCACAACAATGTAAGCAGTGAGAGCACATCTTTTTGTTCTACAACACTTACATGGTTGAATCCACAAACAGCAAGTAGTGAATACACACAGATCACTGAAAGAACATTTTCACTGCTTCTAGTCAACAGGTTTGCATGCACACCATACAAGACAAGGCAGCTATAAATGCCAGTTAGAGAACAGTTAGCTCTGTAAGTTTTTTTAAAGTGATGTTAAAAAGAACACAGAAGAACAAGTGACTTCAGGAGAAATTCATGTAACAGTCCAGAACACACCACAAAAAATATGAAGTTAACATACTGTTACCACAAGAAAATCTACTTTTTCCCTATATTTTATGAACACTTTTTCCAAGCATAACTTTTAAAAGCAGGGAACATGAGATTTTAATAAATGATTTTCCAAAAGACTTCCACAAACACTTCAGTGACTTACCATACTAACTCCCCAAGTATATAATCTTCAACGTGTTTGTGCAAATGATAAAAGTGAACTGCTTGCCTCAGGCAAGATGAACAACAATTTAAATTGCAGGATAATTACTGTTTTAATTTATACTTGTTACAGCTGCATTTATAGACAAAGCCAGGGAAAAAGCTAGCTGCATCTAGAGCTTCTCAACTGTTCACAAGTATTCTTTTATTTAAATTCACAAACACCTGCTACAAACTTCATATGGAACAGCTGATGTTCATTTTTAGCATTTCAACTACCACCGTAAGAAAAGAAAAAATTGTTTTGTTACAGCTTTTGCAAAGTGATTAATTAAGCACTGTGAGCTTTACTACCCATTCAGGCCTCCTTCTAGGCATTTGAATAAGACTAGAAATTTAGCATCAATAATTTTGGACACCATTTGCCTGGTATCTTTCACTCAAGGAACACAAAAAGCAAACTAAACTCTTCAACAAAATAATTATGAAAAAATACAGCATCCCTTGGATATGTTCACATAGGTGACAGCTTTCTCATCTTTTCTGTTAATTTCTGCAACCTACAGGATAAGTAAATACTGTTTCAGTAGAAATCATTGCAAGGTTGCATTTACTTGCCACTTATTTCAGCATGAGTTCTCAGGAAATGTCACTTCTTATACCAAATTCAGGCCTTACGGAGCTGACTGCTCATTTCTTTTCCCATTTAAAAATAACTGAGATGAAACCAAATTGTTTTACTTGCTCTCATTTCTAAATGCACAAAGCTAAATTAATAGCAAAATTTGCAGGAACTTCAAGTCATTTGAGACATAATTAATCTCCTCAAGGGAATATGGAAGCAACTAATGTTCTGTGAAATATTTTTTTTTTCCTAGAGTAAGATACACATTTTGTTGCATTCACTGAGAAAAGAAGGCCTAATAGCTACCACTTAGACAAACTATTGTATTTTAGGAGATGCATATTTCCTTTAAATTTTTTTCTTCAAAACCTACTTGAGCAACAAAATTATTATTTTGCTTCTTATTAAAACCAATCCAAACAAACCCCAAAAGAATAAGGGAAGAGGGAGGAAGAAAAATGAAGGGGTTTGTATGTACATCCCACTTACTAAATCCTTAGGCTTATGATTCTTTGGGGCAGTGGATGATGTTCCACAAATTTTGTGTTACCTGTGGAGCACCTTAAACATGCTGTACTTCAGATGCTCAGGATTAGTACAAATGTCATCTTTTATCTTACCTTTACCTGGATAACTTGTGCTTATTCCACTCCTATGTGTTGTCCAATGATATCTAGCAAAACAAATATAAGCACAGATGTGCATAGCTTGTATAAAGTCAGCATCCCATCTCGCAAAAAATCTAGAGCTTACATGCACATCTCTTCCCTTTTATTAAGGGTTCTGCTTGTTTTGAATTTTTAGGCAGTAGATATTTAGCTTGTTGTAATATTCAGATATTACAATTAAATAAGCTATAACTTGAGTTGCACTCCTATAACTGCTCCCTCAACTTATGCTTCGATTTTGGATAACAGTTTAGAGAAAGGCCTGCTGGACGCTGGGAGTGGCAGCACTATGTCAAAGCAAGAGCAACAAGTAGGCAGGACAGAACGGCCAGGAAGGACTGAAGGCCATGAAGCTCTCATCACCTGCAGCTCGCTGCCTCCTGCAGCCATCACCTTTGTCTACTGATTGTCTGGCAGCCTCTTTGGAATCCAGTAGCTTACAGAAATGGCAGAGAAAAACTTCCAAGCTGGAAGGTACAAAAACGTCAGCCTAACCAGAAAGCTTTTGGAGTGGATCCAACAGCAGCCAGGTTGCTGAGGCATATATGCTGCCTAAAAGCATATTTTAAGAATAAAGTTACAACAGATTTGCATTCTCATAAACATAGTCATGTTAGCACAGCCCACAATTACTGCCATTTTGCTACGCTTCACAGGAGCTCTGAAGTTGCAATGCAGAAAACCATGCAAGTAGAGATGCAAAGAATCAATGAAATTGTCTCAAGCACAAGTCAAATATTGCTCAGTGAAATATTTAGGACAGCTTTTCATCTGTGCAACTACCAAAAGTAACTTAAAAGTTTTTCTGAAAGTCAGAAGATGGGGTTTCTCCCATATCTCACTCTTCATAATCACAGAGGCACCATTCACATAGGACACACCTGAGGTTTATTTTCTCAGCTACTACAGAAACTGGTAGAAAAGATGTAATAGATTGCCAGCACAAGTTATAAAGCCTTAGAATTCAAGCTTGAAGTTATGCCACAATGGTGCACATGTACTATTTTTCAGTTCCAAATTGCAAGTTCTATTAGAAAACAGGACTCAAAAAAGAGAAATACAAGTTTTCAGCTGCCGGATTTACAAGTTTAAGGTGGAAGGAAAAATAGCAAGTTCATAAACAAAGAGCAAAATATTTGAAACAATGCAAATACAAATCTGAAGGTTTATTGTGCCCTGCTCTGACAGCTATGGGAAAAGTTTACACACATTTAGTCACAACACTGTAGTGCAAACAAGTAAATGAATAAAAATATGGAGAATTGCGGGTTATAGTTTCAGTGATGAAGGTCTACCACACACCTCCAAAGCAACCCTTCAAAAGGGCTTTGGATCTTTTACTTGTTTGTTTTACATTCCTCCTTCTTCCAAGATCGGAAAAGCAAGCAACAGACAGGAAAACAAATAAAAGTATTCAAAAAGCTAGCCACTTGACAACAAATACGGTTTGGTACAACGTACACAGAGCACTTCGCCTCCTGGCGGTCATAGCAGTTTGTTGCAGCTTGGTAAAGCTTCAGGCTATCTTAGAAGCAGAATCCCATACTGAAATATGATGACAAAAACGATCTGTGGAATGGGACGTGGACAGCAAGCTCAATTCTTTCAAAAGCATTGTTTCCAAATCCATAGATTAGTAAACTTAGCCACAGGTTCAAAACTATTTCCAAGATGTTTGTATTTGTTAGAGAAATTAATAAAATTAATAGAGCTAACATTCAACCCCTTCAGATTGGGCTGTTTTACTATGCACTTACCAAAAGGTGCTCTTAACAGGAGTTTATAAAATAAAGACAAACTCTGAAGATCACTTAATCTATGAATAAACAGCATTTTACGAATAACAAACATATCTGACTGGAAATCCTCAGGCTTTGCAAATACTCTTGAGAGGGTTAGTGGTTTGTTGTTTGTTTTGTTTGTTTGTTTGTTTTAAAACAGATTTACTTCACCCATAAAAAACTTCAAGAAAATGCCACAATTACCAAAACAACACTCACGCATGCATGTGCAGATTCCTATTCCACACAACTTTAACTAAAATTTCCTTTCTTAAACTTTAGGAATCATTTAGGATATCTGAGCATTAAATCCGCTTAACCCCCATACATGGGAAATCTAGCCTGAGAGGAATTAAAAGTAGCTTGGGCAAACTAAATGATGCATTGGTATTATTGGATCAGCTTAATTGTCTACCATTTTCATTATATTCATTAAAGGCAAAAATGGAGGTACATGAAAAAGATGCATGAAAACTGGAAATTTGACATGACTTAATGCAGCAGCTTTAAGCTTTTGATTTACAAAGTTAGCTGCACATTGAGCATATACAACAATACATTTACTTATGCTAGTCACTGGTCTTCCTACTCTTCAAGCCCCCTGAAAATCACTGGGCCCACTGACTGTTTCCTGGATTAGCCTCATCTTTTGCACTTTTGATTTATGTGGTTTTATCTAGAGCTCAAAGTTGCCTTTTACAACAGTTCTCTGGCCTTTGGTCTGGCCTCTAAACCACGACTAGGTTTCACTTAGCAACACGTGGCACTCCAAATCTTTTCCAGGCAGAAGAAACTAGCAGGAGTGCATACACTAAGTGCTGATGGTTTGGAATTCCCCTGGAACATTTGTATCACACAGATTTGTACAACAGGTCTTTCATCATGAATTGCGTGTTAGACACGGAAGAAAAAAAAGAGTTCCACTTGAAATACACCAAAGAAGCTGACCAGGTAGGGGTTGAGAAGGAGCATGCAAGTAAGCTTATTGTATTCCCATGGAAGAAGTAGAAGCTGAACAAGAAAACCTGACTGGCACAGTTATAATAAAAATAATTTTTTGATTACCTGGGGATGATAGACAGTATTTTAAACAGTCAAACCATAAAACATGCAATTACTTCAATAAATACAACTCTCTCCTGTAAAAGTTTCATCTGCTAATAAAATAAGTCTAAAGGTCTATGTTGGCCACTGCAGCCATTTACATCTCTTTTCCCTTCTGGTACCTGTGCTTGGCTAGTACGTGCAGGTTTGTTGATTTATTTTCTTTTTAAAACGGACCTCTGTTTTATTTTTTTTTTTTATTTCCTATAACACTTTGTTTTGCAATTTGCTTTAGTACTTTCATACCTCCTTAGGGTTTTACTAGCAGTTAACAAGACCTCCTGTCTCCTCCTTTTATACTTCTAAAGCTGTATTTACACCATTTGTTTCTTATCAGTCCCATGCTTACCGAAAGATTTATTTTTTTTCCAGATCAAACCTTGCAATGACTCTCTCGTTTTCTCTTCCACAGCTAATAAGTTACTTTTTAATAATATGCTAACTTAAGCTAGTTTTAATTTTGTTTTACCTGTAACAGCCTGTTCCATACATGCAAGGTGTCCTCTTACGCTTGATCTGTTTGGAGCTTTCTGAAGCATCTACACTTCTGGTTGTATCAGAAATTTCAGTCTCGTAATCCAGATCTGCATCAGGCTCATGAGTCCCTTCCTGGGCACCAAAATATTGGGAAGTCCTGCCCGAGAGAGCTTGTTGGCTTGTAGAACCAGTGATCTGTTCTTTGTTTTCTGATTCCTCAATTCTATTTCTTTTATTGGAGATCTGACCTGTTGTTTTAGACCGTTTACTATGCAGCTGCCTATCATTTTTCTCCATAGTACTTCCAGTTTTTTTTGTTTCAGTCTTGCCATTTCCTTCCATGTTTCCCATGGTACTCTCAAGAGGAAATCCAGATGCATTCTGTGGAACAAGGTTACATTTTGAACGACCTGAAAATTTACACTATTCAGAATTAAAAGCATTAAGGTCAAACTCTATCCCATGTTGTCATTCCGGTTTGCAAAATCTTCTTCTCCACTTTTCATAGCCAAAAAAAGCTGCTACACACAGCTGCCAAATGAAAGACTTAAGTTAAAAACAAACACAATATACAGAAAAACTTATCCTAGAACTTCCATCCTCAGCTGTGGTTCCCTCACAACATACATAAGCACCACCCTTATCACCTCAATCTGTGAACAGTCTAAGCATTTTAGTTTAAATTAACTCTAGATTAAAAGTACTGCTCCTTAAAAATGAACGTGGGTTATAGACATGAGGATATAGTAATCTAGAACATTCCTGTACGAGAATCAATTTTATTGAAGTGCCAGAATATATTAGAGATATATATACAGATTAATGTTATTTTTTAATGTGTACGAGAGATATATGGGAATCAATACATACACACCTTGAGCTTAATCCTTCCCCTAAAATATCTGAAACACTTCAGCTCATGACTTCAAAATAATGAAAAAAAACTTGTCAGGCACAGATATCAGTTTTGACAAATACTGCATTCGAAATTAAAATATGTATATATAACACTGAAAGTAAAAGACACACTTACTTCAAATAAAGAATAGGAGGAGAAATATCCAAGACAAAAAACAATGCCCCAGTAACCAAGACATTATCTGGAAGCACACCTCTATTGAAGGCTGAGCTACTTGGATACACTACGGAACTATTCAAAGATTGATCATCTCTATAGTTCCTTCTCTGAAGTTCCAGCTCCAGTAAACATACTTCACTTACACTGATGTGTTTGGCAGGGACTGAAAGTCAGCTGGTAGTTTTCTATTTGATCTTGACCCTTTCCATGCAAATCTGACAACATGTAAACCACAACTGAAGCCAATTATATATGAACAGCAATCTGATTAAGAAAGGACAAATTCAACATTAATATCAAATGGTCCTGACTGCAGTGTATTTAGTGAGTCAACTCAGGGACAAAGATGACTTTTATGAGTCTCCCAAAATAAATGCTCAAACAACTGCTTTTCAGGAAATAAGCCTTCAGGTGCAAAACGACACTTTTTCTACCTTGCCACACCCACTAGTGACTTCTCACTACTATATACTTTACTCTCCTTAGATATATAGAGAAAAATGATCCAACACTACCAGAGTTCTTATGATGATTCATTAAAAACTGTCTGTAATCATGGAAAAAACAAACAGCATTACTTGCACTCGTTAGAATGTGTCTATGACTGCACTGCCATCTGGTGGACGGCTGGCACTGTGAGTGAGTTAGGATTTGTTTCACTTGCCCTTCAGCAAATTTTCCTCAATCAGCTGAGACAGCAGAAGAGTGATTTTGTTTTTGATAATGAAATGTGTTTCAGTTTTCTATGACTTATTCGTGCAAGTAATAATTATTTTTCCTACAAAACTCCGAAGGCAGTTTCTTACACTATGCTTCAGACAAATATTATTTATAAAATTTTGTAGTTTGCAAGCCATACGTAATTTTCTCCTATTAAATAAAACAATTATATAGTCACTCACCTCATAATTTGACAAAAGAAAACAGCACTGCAGCTAGTACAAATGTTCCTTGCCAACAGAGCTCACCATTCAGAAGACTTTTTCAGATTAAGAGATCCTGTTATATTAAAGCTACCTTGACAGGTAAGCTCAAACTCTCCACAAGTAGATCATTTCATTAACCTTAAGATTAAAATAACAACAACAACACACTACAGGTGTTTTTTTTGGTGTCAGAACTGATGAAGCATACAAATGAATAGCATTCTATCAGATCCTACAACAGATCCAGGCAATCCTAGAGCTAGAGGCTAGGAACTCCAGGCTGTTCACTTAAAAAACAGTAAAACCCTTAGTTCGTTCTCACCAGAAGGTGTTTTGAGGATCATTATCAATGACAAACATCTTTTCATTATTAGCAGTGTACTATCAGTATGTAACTGCCCATAAACACAGTTTTACTTTGAAGACATACAGCCTCATTAATCGGTCTGTAGGACTGAAACCTGTTTGCTCATGACCACAGACCATTCTGGATTTCAGATGACTTTCTTTCCTTTTTTTGATTCTTGTTGAAATAGCATAAAAACACTCTGCCACCTTTCTAAAAAATTTAGCAGTTGATGAGGCTTGTATCATAATTTTCTGGCCATAAAACTTGACCAATTAGAATGGCACCACTTCGGAGAAAAAGTCCACAGCTGCGCTACATCAGTGTCATACCATCACCTACCCCTGAAAAGGGTTCTCCACAAAAAGAAACCAAACTCCAAGCCATAATTACTATGGCTAGCAGACCAGTACTTTGGCCCATGCCCCTCAGCCCTCCTGCTGTACAGCAGGAAGTCTGGGATTTCCATGGAACATGCACAGCCTCAATTCCAGGTCCCAAGAAGGAACTGCAGAAAAACACTCGTTACCAAGTCCCCGAAGGCATCCAGCATCCTTGCAACAGAGCTGTCCAATGAACTGGCATTTCAAAAACAACTGTTAAACACAACAAATCACAAGCAGAACACATAATTAACATTGTAAACCCAACATTACACTATGACATTGCCAACTAGGTTCTTATTTTCGAAATACAGGTTTTCCTGTGAGCAAAAAGTTACCTCAGATGAAGGAGAGGACAAACAGCTCCTTTCCTCTTCGTCATCTTCTTCATCTATCAAATTATCTGTAATTTCAGAAGCTAATCTTTTTCTCTGCAGCATGTTTACATCTGATTTTAGTGATTCCATATTGCTTTCTCTCCTTTCTTGGTGTTTTATCTTTCTAGTACCTAAAAAAAAAAAAAAAAAAAAGAAAAAGGTACTTTTGGAACACAACTTCTACAGTGAAATCCTGATTGCAATAAAAATCTAAACTTAGATGTAAGTAGAACACCAGGCAAAAAGTACGAGGAATAGCAGCAGTTGCATATGCACTGTTTCCACAATTTTTTCACTTCCTGTACTCCCGGTAATCCTTAATTCCGCTTACAGGAGTAAAAACTACTTCTTAGATTGAAAAAAAAAATTCAGAGAAAATTTGTTGGAGAAAAAAGGGGGCAAAGGGTATTCTGGACTATCAGTATGACTGACAACTTGATCAACCCCTGTTGCGTAAACGATAAACAAAACATCCTAGGACTTCCTACTACAGACCTTGCATATAAATATCACTTCAGGTTACCAGCTTACACAAGCAAATAGAATCAAGGTATGCCTACTTGCCTAGAGAATCACATCATACTTTATTATTTCATCAACCAGTAACTGACAGAGAAAGTGAACATTGTGCCTCTCTCTGGAACGCTTCATATCCTAGAAAACTATGAGGTCTCCGTGCTGAAGTATCTTCCACGTATACAGGCAGGAAAAAGCTAGGGCCATGGTCCCATTTTTGTTACGTTTCCATCTGCTGCATAACATATTCAGAAAGAAGAAACTGATATTAGGAGAACCTAAACTAGAAGGGAATAAATTGGTTACTTGAATGTGGAGAAGGCCAGGAATTAACAATACAGAAGCTATCTAGAATTTAAACCCTTTGCAAAACAGGAACATTTATAGAAAAGGACTCCACCAGAATACCACATTGTCAGCTGTCCAAAGAGAGTACTAGCTGGCACAGACAAAAAAAAACAACCAACCACCACAACAAAAAACACTAATAATAATAAAAAAAAAAACACTACCATGAAAAAAAAAAAGCAATCAGAAAGAGCCCTGTTGCATCTCCTCTGTCATTAATCATATAGACAACAGAATTAAGTTTCTGAAGTCTCTGTCTCTTGCCAAGCACAGAACATGGAAAAATGAAGTAATGAATTAATATTTTCTACCACCACAATTATAATTTAAGAAAATGAGATCAAAGCACATCAACGTGTAGTGGCATGCAAACCTACCTCCTTTCATTGCAGGCTTAGAAACCCTCTGAACCAGGAGGTCACTATCCAGCATCCAAGATGGAAGCACCCTCTTCCTCTGAATAGATTTTGACTGTTCATTTTCATCATCATAAGGAGGAACCTGAAACATTATTTACTGTTTAGCTCCTTTTACTAGGTACAAAAGAGGAGATAAAAACTAGAACACAAGTTTGTATATGACTATGTCCTTCACACGCAGCTTGGATTACTACAGTAAGGGCTGACATTTATTGGACTTGCTTATTACCTACTGTACAATGATGTTGCCCAATGTATCCCTTTTAGCACCATGATGATGAATATACAACAGAAGCTTTAAGAAAAATATACTGTACAGAGACAGTGCGATTATCAGACTTTCTGCAGGCCGTTTTTACTCAATAACAATAAAAACAACAAACAATGCTAGCTTTGAAAACACTGTTTTGCTGGACAAAATGCTGACTGCCAGGGAAAAACATAAGGGCTGTTTACTTGTGCATTTGTTAGGATTTTGACACCACCACGCCATTGCAGATGTATGATTCAAATGAAACAGGCTGCTAGTACACTTACAGCCCGTACAAGGCATCTACAGTCTAACTATAGTATCTCCAGATATAAATTTCAGAGTCTTTTACCCTGGCTGGAAGAAGAGCCATTTGCTACCCTGGGCCTTCAAACATACTTACAGGCAGTTAGTGATACAGAGACCAGAATTTAAGACTTTTTTACAGTACTATGTTCAGCTCTAATATCATTATACCAAAACGTTCATGTAGAAATAGCTACATGATTTTTGTTGCCATAACATTATTATCATAAACAATAGAAATTTATTCACTTTTCAGGAAAAAAAAAAAAAGAATTTAGAAAACACCTTTGCTTCATTTTCAACACATGCTTGCAAATATTTAAAAAATTAAGGACCCACCAGAAGTGTAGAATTAGAGTCATTTTGTCTTATTTTTGCAATTCCCTGCATCTCAGAGGTGGAACACGATGGCTGTACTAATGACGGACTACAAGACATCTCAACAGGATGAACACTTGCTGCTGCTTCTGCACCAACCTCTGGATTGTTTCTGACAAAACAAAGTAATTTTGTTGAACAAACTCATCATGAATATGAAGATGTACTTTTAACTTGAACAGAGGCTGATCTAACTTTTACCATTAATATACTTCTAAATAGAATCTAACATACTCTTGCATCAACTAACACAGGAAATCAAGATAGTTTCTTGTTTAACTTCCATTGAAAGAACTTTGAACCAACAATTTTCCAATCATTGCTGATCCTTACTGTAGTGTTTCTGTTGACTGAGTATCTAATTTGTAATAGTGAATGCCATGATAAAACTTTGGTGAAGTTGAAGTTACAGCTTAGAATTTGTTTTACTATAAATCAATTGCTTATATTAGCTCCCCCCAAACATAAATTGCTATATGCTTCTTACAAAATAAGAAACATCACAGATTTTTTTGGACAAGTTACCTCTATTTACTTCTCACTTTCATCTTTGAATTCAAAAAAGGTATCTAAGTTTACAGACGTAACAACACAAATTCTTTGACCAATTTCATGCTGCATTTAAGACACTTGCCATTGGTCATATATTAGAAAAAAATGGTTTGCTGTGTGCTAAACTTAAGCAACATTTACATTACTGAAAACCATAATATTTCATTTCAAGAGAAGTTTTAACTCGTCCTCAAATTTAATACTTCAAAGAATTTACTAGGTGGAAGAACACTAAAAACAAATCCAAAACCCCACATTTCTAGCACCGAGACTGTCTGTCAATTTACCTCCTAGACTTCATGGTTTCTGGGCTTAACCATTTAGACCTTAAGTGAGACAGATTTTACTTAACGGTAAGAAAAAGCTATTAGTGAGAACAGCATCATTTTTTTAATGTATTGATACCTTACTGTGCTCTCCACAGGATGAGCAGAAATAACCTTGAAAATGTATTTGTCAACCAGTAGGGAAAAGCTATCACCAAATTTCAATGAGTGCCATTCATGTGCTTCCAACGGCAGAAGACGACCATTCTCAGCAGACTGATAAAAGCATGGATTTACATGAATCTGTGAGATAGAAAGAACAATCAGCATTTTTTAAGATTAAAAAAGCATGTACGTATGCTTAGCATATATACAAAAATACAAAAAGCATGTACAGTATGTTTAGATAACTCCCTCCCACAGTTCTGCCATGTACAACAAATCCCTTATGCCACAGTAATAGCTACAGCAATGCTGCAATGTCGAAACATTACAGACAAAAATAGGCAGATACACTAGTTACCACTAACTAGTTCAAATAGTTCTGCTTTTTGTTTTGTTTTGTTTTTTGATACCTACAATTGATTCCTAAAGTTTCAATCCAAGATGATGAGCGCAACAACACAAAAAAAAAAAAAAAAAAAGATTGTATGAACTGGTGTTTTGTCTTTTACTTTTCAAGTTTACCTGCACCACAGGTAAGCAAGCTGCTGGCAGGTTTCCCCTAGAGGAGAGGGCCACAGATCTAGTTTGTAGGGCTACCACTATATGGATTAGAGAACAACAATATGAACTGCCATTTGCATGCAAATCCTAGAAGGAAATCACAGAGAAAATGCCATGGACTGAAGTGAGGCCCAGATCTGAGAACCACCAACCACAACACAAATAAGAGGCTTGTGGTACCAAAGCAGCTCCATTCAGCTCTCCCAGCACTGATGAGCAAAATAGTCACTCATCTGTACAAAACAGAAATGGCCGCAATCATATCTCATACCTCAGTATACCCTATGCATGACATCCAAATCAACTGCAGCTACATAAAGATTTGACAAGTCAATTATTGTACCAACAATTCAATTTTTATAAAAGAAAGTCTTGATTAGGTTTATTACAACTGAGTTTATTTGCAAGAAGGACATATTCTTTGATCAAGACACAGAAATCGTAAATTCAGAGAGATTTCTGAAGGACAGAGAGAAGCAGTCATGGATCCGTCTGAAAACTGTAAACAGGACTACATAGTAATGATCAAATCTCTGCAGTGTTTTGTTTTGTTTTAATTCACCCAACAACTAGTCTGCAAGAGAAAGTCAGTAACGTTACCCAGAGATGGAATGACACGGTAATGGGAAAACAAGGACTACGAGCAAGGTGAACTGAATGCTGTTCTCAGATGAAGCTAACATCACAGGAAAATCTAAAATTGTGTAGTTATAGGTTGGCTCTATACACATAATCAGAGATTTAAGTTACCGGTTTGATGCGAACCTGGCCATCCACCACTTCCAATATGGCATGTTTTCGGGATACTCGCTTATCTGTAATCTGAAAAGGAGAGACAACTGCTGTGAGAACCATGTACTTCAAAGTCTATATAGATTCCTTTTGCATCAACATGAGCAAGTTCCCAGATCTAACTGAGCACAGTTTTAACAGGATTCACTTTTTATATACTCCATTGCTCCAGACTGTTTTAAAACAGTGATGAAATCAGTGCAGTTTCCCAAAATTTGACTCTCTACTAAACTCTGGATAACAACATTAAGATTCAATTTCTGGAATCAGAAGCCTACAGAATCCAGCACGTCTTAGCAAGTTCTCACCAAAGGCAACAAATGTGCAGCTCTGAAGTGAGACCATTTACTCACTCAGGTGCTTGAAGCTGCTTTTAAAAGCTTCAGTTCAGATGTACCAGATCTGAACTGCTTTTCAACAGAGAAAACACTGAAACTGCACTTTCTTTTCTTAGAATATTTCAGCTTTCCACTAGTCAATTCATTAACTGGAGGGGGGGGGGGGGGGCTAATTGCTGTTCTATTCCACCATGGGACCACTTAAGAGTCATCCTTCTCCCTTTCACAGCGTTTTGCATTACACAGAAGGCACAAGCTGCCGAGCTGAGCTTTTCATTTCATCATAAAGAGAAACACAAGAGGTCAAATTTGGCCCCAAACAGATCCTTTCAGGTGCCTCTCAAGAAATTTCAGTTCTGCGTTTGCTCCCTCCACCCTTTCCACAGGCAACGGAGCTGTCAGCGCACTTGAATAAAGCACCAGCGAGCGTAAACCTGTGGCACCAGTTTGTGCTCCTCTAAACTTACACTTTTTGGCTGTCCAAACACGTTCTGTCTGGAAACTGTTTAAAACCAAAAAAGCAAAAGTCATTTCTAAGGAAATTATCAACTAATTTTGAGAAATAAGAGTCTATAGCACAAAGAAAATCTTAAGTTAGGAAAAAGGCCATCACTTTTCAGACTACAATCTCTAACAAGCATATTTAAACAACAATCAAACAGCTATTCATGTAGATAAACACAATAAAAAGCATGTAAAGTAAAGTCAACATCTCTGTGTACTGTAACTTAATAGCCCTGAACATGATGATTACATACACAAATAGTTTTACCTATTAGACCATGCAGACCCATGTTGAACATCCTGTAGCTACATACATTTATGCCACATAAAAGTTCTGCCTGATCTTTAAATAACTTTCAAAGTATGCTTTAGAAGCATTAGCATTCAGTAACGGTTACCTCTTGGTTCTTCAAATGTGAGGAGTGAACCAGTAGCTTTTAACTGAAATTCTTGTTATTCTCCACTTCCAGGAAGTTTGCTGACTTAGAAAAGCCAGCTAAAACTACAGACCCAAAAACTATCGCAGTAATTTTACTACCAGGTCACGCAAAAAAAATGTAATACTTGACCACATTTTGAATGAGGAAAAAAGGTTCCAAAGAGCAAACTGCCATTGCAAGAGATAATCATTTTGTTATGGATCTGACAGATGAGGCAGCACAAAAACAGCTATATTGCAACTACCTGTACATTTTATTCTCTTAGAGCCTTTGACCCAACATTTTTAACAATCCCTGGACGTACAAACTTTAGCTAGTCACAAGAACACGCTGCGGGATGCCAGCATCAAAAAAAGTATCTGTCTAAGTAAGAAAAAGCACAAGACCTGAAGTCTTCATCTGAGATATCTGCTTACTCCACAGTCTTTCACTTTTGCCTCCAGGCAGAATATGGAGAAGATGTAGTAGGTATTAAATCTGCAATGGCCACGTAATTCTGTTTGTCAGCACTAACACACAGAAGTATTACATCTCCATCATCCACACCATGGGGAGCTGCTGGTTTTGTGACTTGCCAAAGGCCAGGGCTGCTTATACAGCATCAAGAGTGTCCACCACAGTCACACTCCTGCTCCAAAAAGCACTTAAAGAGCACAGTGGGTTGGGGCTTCTGTTTAGAAAAGGCTATCAACTGCAACAGATTTAAGAAGGATTTTATGTAAATAACGTAAACTAATTAAATAACGTGAAGTGATTTACTTAGTGATATGGTTTAGTGGAGGACTTGTTAGTGTTAGGTCAGAGGTTGGACTCAATGATCTTGAGGTCTCTTCCAACCTAGAAATTCTGTAATTTGTGATTTGGTAGAGTTCAGATCCACTCAAAACTATCAACCATAACTCCGTTTTGTTTTCTTTTACATTTTAAACAAACAATGTTACATTTTAAACAAACAACCATATCATGACAGAAACTACTGAAGAAAAGTCTGTGAGGACCTTTTCCTACCCTACTATGCTAGAAATAAACTCAGACACTTTTCTTCTTTTTCAGGTGCTTATGAAAACTTGAATCAAGTTTTCTAAACACCAACTAACTACACAGCAAACAAAGTGCAAGCACTTAGAAGCAGCCCGGCTGAGCACAGACGCTGCATCCCACAGCTCGGTGTTTTGATGTAATGGATGTACCATTTCAGGCAACGCACCCGGACCCGAGTGGCAATACCCCGCTTTACAGATTCACAAGGCACCAGCCCCTGAGAAGCCCCTGGGGCTGCAGAAGCGACCCTGTAACTCCGACACCCCGTTATACCCCAGAGCCGTTACCCCAGCACCCCAGTCCCTTACCATTAAACCCCCCAACCGAGCCCTTCTCCCTGACAGCCTCCCTCCCCCGTACAAACGAGGGCTCTACCCTGGGGTTTCCCTACCCCAGCCCGCAGCCGAGGGTCCCATTTCAGCACCAGCAGTAACATTTCCCCTCAGGTACGAGCCCAGGGCGCTGCTACCAGCGCTCAGCGCCTCGGCCCCCCAGCAACAACCCTAAGCGGGGCAAGGCTGCGCCCGCTCGGGGCTGCTTCCCTCAGCTCCCCTCCGCCTCCCTCGCCCCCTCACTTACTCCCAGCAAGGGGCCGCGTCCCAGCAGCGTCTCCCCGGGCGGCAGCGGCACGGGGCAGCCCCCATCGGCCGGCGCCAGCCTAACGGCCGCCATGGCGGGCGCCGCTCCCTCAGGGCGCCGCGCCCCGCCCCGCCCCGCGGCCGAGCGCCGCCATATTGGCGCCTCACCCCCTCCCCATACACACACACATAGCGCCGCCCAGCGCCGGGCGGGGGGGGGGGAAAGAACTACAATCCCCAGCATGCCTCGCGGGGTAAAGGGCCTGGCGCATGCGCACTGCGCGTAGGGAGAGCAGCGGCGAGGGGCTGATGGCGGAGGTGTTTGCAAACAGCCGGGGAGCCGCGGCGCGCGGGCCACAGGTGAGGGGGGGGGGGGGGGGGGGGGGGGCGGGTAACGGTCGGCAGCGGCCGTTAGCGGCCCCTCAGCGCCGCCAAGGGCGGGAAGGGCAAAAGAAGGGCTGAAAAAAATGGCAAAAACCGCGTGGTTTGACCTCAGGGAGCCTCCCCGGCGCGACGCCGTCGCCAAAATGGGCCGAAACGGGCAGAAGCGGTTGGTTGGTGCCCGGCCTGCCCGCCTGGGGCTGCTGGAGGAGTGTGGGGGGGGGGGGGGCTGGCGGTGTCTGTTGTGGCAGCAGGGCGATATTGGCCCTTCCACGGTGGCTGCTCGGTAATTGTTATGCTTCCCTTATCAGGTGTACCTGCTGGAGTTGGCCAGGGCTCAGAAGCATGCAGAAAACGCCCAAGAGGAACAAGCAGCCCTTGCCCTGCGGGGAGCCGGCCAGCCTTCCTCCTGACAAGAGGAAAAGGGAAAGCCCCGAGGACTTCGTAGCCCTTCTGCCCCCCGAGGTCAGCTTGCAGATCTTTGGTGAGCTTGATATCCGCAGCCTGTGCAACGCCGCAATGACATGCAGGAGCTGGAATCACGCCATTGACAATAATGACTGCTTGTGGAAAAATCACTGCTTGACTGTGCGAGCTGTCTGTCAGCGAGAGATCGATTGCGATCGAGGCAATGGATACTCGTGGAAGGTAAATTTAACGTGAGCGACAGTGCTGGCAACTCAGAAGCCTCTGGGATTAATAATAGAAACAAATCAGTACTTCTTATTTGTCCAAGATGCTTGGGGAACCCCTGTAACACCCATGTGGCTCAGTGGTGAAATCAAACAACTGGAAACCTGGTTAAACACAAATAAGTTTCCCATTTCTTACTTCTTTTATGCTATTTGCTACCCAGAGCCACCCTTGGCCCACTCAACCTATTCTGTGTATTCCTCAAGGCCCCACAGCTGCCCATCCCAGCAGGGTGATCCAGCTGGGGTGCATAACCTCAATACTGGGGTCTGTTCATCCCATCAGAAAGTCTGAGTAGCCCTAACATGGGAGAATGCCCAAATCCTAATACACAGGGGCAGAGGGAGAGAAAAGCACGTAGCCTGCGTGCCAGTGTACATTCTCTAGTTGTATTTCAGTGGAGTAAGTCTGCTTGTGAAGAATGATTTCCTGCGGATACATTACAGATTGCTCAAAATGTATTGAGGCAAAGCTACATGCAACTGGGAGAAAGAATCTGGGGTAGGAAAACAGGAAAGAAAGAGCTAGCAGGAGCTGGGTGAAGTTTGTTTGGACCTCTCCCTCCCCCACACACACACACTCCTAGTTACAGCTTCTCTGAAGCAAGAGGAGCTCAACATACTGGAAGGATCTGTCACTGTTGAGTCCAGCCTGCAAACTGAAGTAGATCAGGGAAGCAACGGCTACTTCTCTGAGCTATCTAAAGGGTGATCTCCACCTCAATGTAGCTGGGGCATTTTCAAGTAGGGGAACAGAGGATCTGTGAGAAAGAGAAAAAAAAAAAATCTGGACTCCCACACTCCTTGCCTTGAGCAGGGAGTGGTTGCCCTCCAACCATCTTTCCTCTCTTGCACAACAGTTTCCAAAGGGCTCCCCTCTGGTTCTCTATTTTGCGTCTATTACAAATTCCCCTCCACTGAGGGGGAATACACTGAGCTAGCATTTTCTTGCACTAAAAGGCTGGCTGAGTAGAAGAACCAGTCCAGCCTTCATTAATAGCCCAAGCAAGAGGTTAAAGTCATAAACCTAAACAGGAAGAGAAAGTGAAAGCCACTTCTTTTAAAGAGTAAGGAGGAAGATTGATTCCTGTTTAGGGTTTTCATTTCCCCATCATCTTCACCCTCTAAGAACTGAGGCAAGAAGTGACTCTCTACCTAACTTAGGATAGAAAGATGGAAGTAGACCAAAAAGTCTACTTGTTGGCAGCAGTACAGCTTTCTGGGCTTAGCGTCCAGGTACCTGAGACATGTTCCAAATCCTTTTTCTGGCACTACTCTTCCAATGTAAAACTTAAGCATATCGAATGCAGCTTGAATTGGTTTATTTCCAAGATTTTTGCTGTCTGTTTTTCCATCAGATCACATTACTAAGAAACTACTGGAAAAGCAAAGTAAAGCAAGAATGGCTGAGTGGGAAATACAGTAACATTCACTCGCAAAACAACTTGCCAGAGAAAAGCATGTATCCGATGGATGTTGACACATGGGGAGAAATCCTGGAAGCAGAACTAGAGAGATGAGAAACCAGTACAGCTTCTTGCAACTCAAGAACCTTACGTCAACAGCTCATGGACAGCCAAACTGTAAATATTTTGACATTTAGATTAGTTGTGTTTGCAAGCATGTGATGAAAACTCTGAAGAAAAAGAGAGATACTTTTATTTGCACTTTATTAGACTGAGTGATACAAAAAGTAAAATTCGAAATAAGACTAAGTATTCAGTCGTAATTTTATGTTTGTAAATTTTATATTCTGCTGTATTGTTGAAAATGTTGAATGTACTTTCAGTTTGCACTTCTTTTGGAAAAAAACGTTTTTTAAAAAAAGTGTTTCACTCCGTGTATCGTATCAGCAGCACAACATGGCATTCCACAAAGGAAGGCTGGGGGGAGGACAAATCCAGATACTGGAAAGGAATGGGCAGCCACCTCAGCATCAGCTGATCCATCCCCAGGGGCCGCATCAAGGGACAGAGCCTTCACAGAGCTTTTCTGAGCCTGCACACTTGGAGGCGCTGGTGCTCAGCAGCTCTGCATTTCTATTACCCAGCTGTAGGAGTTCTGAATTAAGACTCACAGATTGAAGCAACAGGTAGGACTGAGGCAGCCACTTAATGCCCAGCCTTGCTGTCATTAGCTACGCATTTTTTTCACTTATATAACAATGTGATAGGGAATAAAAAAAAATCACTTCCAACACAGTAAGTCAACTTTACGATTGTAGCCAGGGTATCTCACACAGTTAAAACGTTCAGAAACTTTTTTTCCTGCAGTAGGATCTCCCATCACATGAACTCTGCTTTACCAGCACTGATTTTTGTCACTGACATTAAAAATTGCTGCTAGGAAAAGATATGCCTATTACATTACTTAACAAAAAAAAAAAAGCACAAAAAATACAAAAACAGTTTATTACAGTTTGGTTTAAATGTCACATCATCTTTCCCCACCTACATTTTGCACTGAAGAGTACAAAACAGTGGAAGAGCCCATATTGGTTTAGGTATTCCTATAAAATTATTCAGTGACCTATCTAGGTCTAATTTTATATAGAAAATTCTATCATGCTCATGAAACTTAGTTAATATGAAAAACAAGTTTACTACTGCAGACTTTTGCAAAAGATTTCCTGGCAACACACAAACAAGCATCCTGTTGAGATCTCGAGGTTCACTAGCTCTAGATCCAGCCTTTAAACTAGATGCAAGGGTTACTGAAGCAAGGTCCAACTCTTCCATTAGTAGGGCCCAGTAACACTAGATGGAGCAGTAGAGCAGTTCAGCTCAGGGAAAAATAAATGCCATTGCCCTCTGGGTTAAGATCCAATACCATTTTTTAATGGTGGTGGTGTTACTTAGACAACACAACATTGAGAAAATAAATATACGGAAATTGTAAATGGTTTTGAACTGTTATTTAACCACTGAAAACTATCTAGTGAAAACATTTTTATCCCCCTTTCTTGTAAGAGCCTAGGCTCACAGTCTGTTTCTTTGAGGTGCCCTTACCAAGGCAAAAGAAGAGCAGAACAGCCAAGTGAAGCTGGTAGTTTTGAAATGCTTCCAAGAGCAATATATTATTTGATTCCCTTTCTATTTTGGAGCATTCAGAGTTTACTAAAACTGTTCCACTTCCCTTAGCTTCCTGTATTTCCCCCATTAAAATAGCTTTTTCAATTCATAAGCAACAGTGACTTTTCTAAATCATCAGTAAAAAAAAAAAATTCTAACAGACACTGTTCTTGTCAACAACATTGCATGGCAGGTGATGACTGGATAACGTAAGGTAGCAGTGGACACTGCTGCTGTAAGGTTTGTAAGATGCATAGCCTCTCTCTTTTCTGCCTAAAGAGGTGATGCTGTTCTTGTGGGATGACTGCAGCATTAACCATAATGGGTGCAACACTCAAAGTTCACACTACCACCATGACTAAAGTGTAATTTGGAGCTAAGTATGGTGGGTGTAGCACAAAGTTCAATGAACTGTGAACACTGCTTCATTTATTTTTAGCTATTCTGCTCTAAGACTACAGCTAGTTACCACAGTTTATTAAAAAAATTCCACTGAAGATGCTGCCTTACTCCCTGCTCACCATGCCCCCAACTTCAAGAGAGACAGAAATGAAAGAGGTGCATATAAATTATGAATAATGCTAATGGTACATTCTCAAGTTATTAATTGTAATACAGAAGTGTACAATAGTCTCTCACCACTCTCCTCAGCTCCCAGCTAGTTATCAGCACCTCCTTCCTGCCCCTTCCCTACACATCAGCTATCAGTTTTTGTATCCTGAGACAAAGCTATGCCTCTTTGAGCACGTTAGGCGTTAAGCACTCAGCTACACACTTAGACAAGGCCTAGATCTTAACATGGAGTAGCAGTAGTGTGAGCTTCTCACAAACATCTCCCACATGCTTTTCTTTCAGTAAGCATGAGTTCTCATGAAAATAAGCTTGCTTCCTCTCCCCTCTTAAGGGAGGTTTTAATTCCCACCTGAGATTTTGTTTAATCTGTTTTGGTCTTCAATCAATTTTGGTCTTCCCCTACTTGCCCTCATACCACCTACTCAGCTTTCAGCCCAACTAGCGGCTGAACACACCCTTTCCTTTAAACACACCCCACCAGCATCCCTACCTCCAAGCAGCAGCACCTCCTACACTACCAGCTGTCATTCCTGCCTGCCTCTTCACCCTCCTAGCTCCAAACAAAAATGCCTAAACTAGTGCTAATGCTTAGGCATCCCTCCCCGGGGAGTATTCTCACCTGCTAAGCCTACTCCCGCACAAGCCACCTGGACACGCACCAGCTATCCTCACACTGAGGTGGCTGGTGAAGCCTTCCTTCTGCTTCAGTACCAAGCTCTCTTACCCATAGCTTCTGAGGAAGTGGAAAGCTGTATTTTAGCATACACCACCTACCTTCCCTGAAATACCCACACCACCCCGTTACTCTGAGATTTCAGCTGCAGAAGGATGCTGCAGGCACCCATCACCCAGGCATCCTCTTAGCCACACGGCCTTACTGCCTTTCATCGTCCTGCCCTCCAATCTCCCTCAGAAGAGGCTTTCTGAGAGTACGTGAAGTCTGTGTGCAGAGCAAATACCACACCCTCTCCCAGTACCCAACTCAAACCAGCCTGGTTTCTAGGATGAAAAGGCAGGTTCTCCACTGCACAAAATGTCTCCAGCTGCTGCACGCAGCTTAACGTCAAAATACCCAGCATCAAATCTGAATCTGAGGTCCCCCGAGGTAAATATTTTATTTCTGTATTTCCAAAATGTCTGTGGTTTTAGAACCTCCTCTGCAACTACTCACTACTGTAGTGCTCCATTTCTAGAGGGAGGAGCCGTAAGTGTGGCTTTATTTCATCATGGTGCAGGATGTGGCTTAGGGCCACTGGCATTAACACTCAGACTAATTGAAAAAGAAAGCACCATTATGTTTAATTAACACAGACTTTTCTTCATTAGACCAATAACGTTTCTAAGTGAATTTTGTCAGGAAAAATGTTTCTCCAAATGGACAGGCAATAGCATTTCATATCTTTATCACGTTCGCCTCTGGGAGGTCCCAAGTGAGTTATCCCATCTGAACGCAGAGCAGTGAAGCTTAAATCCACCCATCAGCATGCCTTCATCACATTTTTCACAGACCTTATGCACTGAGGCAGCTGACCCCTGTCCTGAGCCTTTCCACCCCCTACGTTAATTTGGATGGAGGCATTTCAGATTCTCAGGAGTGTCCTGACACTTTTCTGAACAAGCAGTACCATGAGAAACAACTGCAAAGTCCACCACAAAAACCTTGGACAAAATCACCCGCTGTACTTAAAGCTGAGACTCAGAGGCTTTGGAACATTAAAAAAAAAAAAAAAAAAGAATTATTTGGTGGTGTGTTTTTTTCCTCTCTCTCAGGCTTCAGGGTAAGTGGCCAGTCCCACTTCTATTATTCTGGTAAGCCAAAAAAAACACAAACTATAGCTGTGGGTAGAAGGCTAAGAAGGGTGAGAAGGGGAGAAGTGAGGGACAGCAAAACAGAGGAACGTATCAAGATGAGAACTGGGAGGGCATCTCTATATACCAGTAGAGTTATTTGCAGTCCCCTCTAACTCCTAAGAATTGTCCTGTTCATTACTGCCACCGACTTTCAACAGCCATTCATTTACAAAGCTGGTTTACATGTATAAAAACCAGCCTGCAGGGGTATGCAAATCAGGTGCAACATAAGCTTTTTTTGATCCACATTTAAAAATACTGTTAGAACCGTATGTGCTGATTTTCATGTGTAGTTCTTAAAAAAAAAAAAAAAAAAAAAAAAACAGCCAAAAGAACTGCTGTTTGCCACTACAGGCCACACAATAATCTATTAGCCATGGTACTAAATGCTGTTTTTAAACATCTCAGCGACCTCAGAATACCAAATTCAGAAGACCAAAGGATGTTATCAGCTACTTGTTGGAAGACTCAAGTGGAAGTCTGAATTGAAGGTATACATGGAACAACTTGGAAACAGAGGGAAAACAGCAAACAAACAAACAAAAAAAACAGCCACCTTAAGCTTTTAACCCTAAAAAAAAAGGGGGGGGGAAAGCTGAGAAAGGTAAAAACATATCAGCTACATAAGATAATGCTGAAAAAAAAAAAAAAAAAAAGAAAAAGGAGTGTGACAGTACTCCCACAGAAACTTGGTTCATCTGCTCATTTGCTCATTTGAGGAACTTTTTAAAATAGAAAAATAGTGGAAGCTATGATAATGCTAAAGAAAAAAGAGCACTACACAAGTTAGCTAGGAAGATCCAATGACAACATTTCCTGAGATACTATATATAGCCATTTGTGGCATATTGCTGTTATCAACTGTACTGTCAAGTTTCATATTGAGTTTTGACCAAACTAATCAGCTTCCGTAATGCACCTTTATTCTTAGAGACCACCATTCTGTAGACATTACAGATGAGAAGTTATACTGCTCATTAAAACTATAGTTAACGTGCAAATCTGCTACCAACACATGTACTTAAGAGCTAGTCATGCCGGGACTTACTCAAATGCTTAAATAAGGGAGACTATGACACTTGAGACCCATGAAGCAACCAAACATCTACGTACCGTAAGCAGATGTGAGGAGATAGAGGAAATCTCTGTTCTTCTAGAGGGGTGACTAAAGACCATGTGGTGATATACTGTGGGACATCTAAAAATACCACTAGACATTTATGTTTAGGTATCTGAATTTTACTCTGTTTCATTGCCACAAACTCTTAGCCCCTTTTAGACTAGGAAGTTTAGTTCAAAATAACTAAGAAAGAGGAGAAAGGGGAAACAGTA